GTGATAAATACAATGACAAAAGTGTTGACAAGCCTGCACGACTCCTGCCGATCACAGATGAATAAGTTCTAGAGCCTTCATAGCTTAGTTTTAACTAGGATGTCTTTTACAGATTTTCACTTACGATATGAGATGCAGTGTTTCCACCAGAGCGCGCCACTGCAAGAATCCCACATTACAATCAGAGATGGCCCCCAGAAAAACGAAAAAAGGGCCCTTTCCTTCTACAAGACTGCAGGCTTAACACAGGCATAATATTTTAAAAGCCATCCCAGGGCTCAAAATTGTGATTGATATAACAAGCATTTCGTCCTTGGCGACCAAAAATTCTGGTTTAGTCGCCAGTCACTTTGGCCCTCGAGTAAAATTTTCTGGCTGAAACACTGAGATGATGGGGGGCTCCTTAAAGATTTCTCTCAGTTGTGGTTGCTTATCTATAAGGTGTCATTTCCCCATGAGTGTGTCCTTTAGGTTAGGCAACGTCAGGTGGTATTGCGTTACAAAGAGCAGTGTTTTCTTTTGCGCAGTTTTGTTTTTCTGTGCTAGCGACATTTTTCTGTCAGAGGATTTAATCTCTGAAAGGTGTTTCTCTACAATTCTAGCTGGGTAATCTCTATTCTGCAGGCGTGTTTTGAAATTACTCGCGTTTTCCTCAAAAGTAAATTGAGAAGAATTTGTTCTCAGTTCTCAGTTCTCCTTTGATAAAGCCTTTCGTGAAGTTAATAAATAAAATTATAACATTATGTAATAAAGTTCTAAAATGTAGTCACCGAATTTTATTTTCACTTGCCATGGCGACCATATTTTGGTCGCAGCTTGGAGCGCTGCATGAGCGCTGCATTCGCTTGTACAAATTGTTGGGCTTCCAGGGTTTGTTGGACATGTAGGGCTTGTAGGACATGTAGGGCTTGTTGGACATGTAGGGCTTGTTGGACATGTAGGACATGTAGGGCTTGTAGGACATGTAGGGCTTGTTGGACATGTAGGACATGTAGGGTTTGTAGGACATGTAGGACATGTAGGACATGTAGGACATGTAGGGCTTGTAGGGCTTGTAGGACATGTAGGACATGTAGAACATGTAGGACATGTAGGGCTTGTTAAGGGCTTGTTGGATGGAGCTTGTAGGGCTTTTTTATGTATTTTCAACTACTGTCCGCCATCAGCACAGGTGTCAGACTTATCAACCTAACTGTGCATGAAGGTCGTATATGATGCTTTTAGCAACTGTATCTTGAAGTACTGCCAGCCATCTTGTAGAGCTTGTAGGGCCTTACGAGCAGCCCTACAGCAAAAGCTCTGTCCCTAAATCACGCCACATATGCAGTTTCATATTAGCATCCTAGCTTGGTACATGATGCAGGATATTTCTCATTAATGCCAAAGCCGACACTTAATATTTCAAACTATGAGGATTTACCTTCAATAAGTGAATGACATTTGCAGACTGCAGACTTTTTAACAAATATCACATTCCCATTTTCATAACTGAAAGCTTACCATAAACAGCCAACCTGAGTGCTAATCAGGCTAACTTGAGTGATATTCATGTCAAATAGGCTATATAAGCCTTAATGTAGTCTGCAGGTTTACCATGGTTTTTTCTTACACATCTTTTCTTCCCTGGCATAATTTCAAAGTGTCATCATTTATCCCATATTGTTTCTTTTACTCTACTAAATTTTCAGTGCAAAGTCTGCTTGATGGAACTAGAGGGCCTCACCTTTTAAATTTACATTTGCTAATTGCAGTCACTGTTTACTTATTGACATAGCAAAGCCTAAGTCTTACAAGAGGGTACCCTATACCTCTTCTGAGAACAATTTCACGCATATGTAATTGGCCTTTTCATGCATCACGTAAAATTCGAAAAACAGCTTCATGTTAACAGAAAAAACCAAGCAATCACGTTTCACGTAAAAATGCAAAGGCTAAATCATGTGTCACATAAAAATACAAATTCTGTCCACGTTCACGAAACATACAGAACCCTCCATTTTGATGCATCGAAATGCCATGTCTGACACATCGTGACAGACTAGATTCTAGGCCCTCCTGGTTCACTGTCACTGTGGTTAGTTCTCAGTCCTCCAACCGCAAGCACGTCAAATAGGCAGGTTTTACATCCAGTTTGGTGTAGTTTACAAGCTTTAATGACACTAAAATCTCCAAAAGAAGTGAAAAATCATCCCTGCAAAAGTCTTTGGTTCACAAATCATGCATAAGTAAATGCATAATTCACGGATCATGAAAACATCGAAAACCAGTTTCCCGAGGACGGAATAATATAGACTCGCGAATCACGGAAAAAATAAATCCTCATCCACGCTTCATGCAAAGCAAAAAATGCTTATTCACACGTCACCGAAAAAGTATAGGGGACCCTCTTACAAATCGTTTGTCTTTTTTGTGAACCCTGCTCATTTTATGGTAAATGTAAGAGTTAGCATACAAGAGCATTGTCATGTCATTTTTGGTTCTGTAAGATGCAATGTGTTTTGGACGTGCTTTCTTAAGGGTAATGCTTTGGGTTAAGAGTAATTTATTCACTTCATCCATAGAGGTGGTTTTGCACAACTACTGAAACCCAAAATCTAGATTTTCTAGTCTATACTTTTTTTATAATTCTGGAAAAATTGGGGGGAAAAGGTAAATTAAGTCTTTCTAGTTCTGACACTAGCCTAACTTAAGTACTGGTACATGTAAGTAGCAGTGACGCTTATATTTCAATTGATTACAGACGATCATAGAAGTTCCCATGAAAATATCTTTTTAAAACTAAAAAAACATTAATTAAATACCAGGTCTGGTTTTTTTTTTTTTTCACAACCATGCATGAGAAAATACATGATTTGAAATTATCCTAGGAAAAAATTGCTATTCATAATATTTATTTATAAGGTAATGCAGTCAAGGATCAGGAAACGTTTCCAATTTCTATTTAAAAAAGATTATTTTCTTCCTATTTACTTGCAATACTTGTAAATAAATGATTCATATGTCTTTCAATTTGCATCTGTGATTTGTCACCTAAAATTTAATCAGTTCCAATTTAAAATACTCAACATCACAAAATAATTTCAAAATAAAAGCATCAGCCCCAGTTCAAATCAAAATTTAGCATATTTCATAAAAAGAAAAATAAGAGGTATTTTGGGATGAAATTGAACTCTGCATTATTACAAACAAAAAGAAACAATGTCAAGCTTGTTGTAACAACCGGATCCTAGTTTTGACCAAAAACTTCCTTCAGTATACAATTATATTTGGCACACCGGAACCTTCTCAAAAATTATTCATTAATGACAAATCATTGTCAAGTTTTCTTCCAAAAGAACCACTCAGAGGTTGGGATGTAATTAAAGAGTGTTGATAACTTGTAGCAGCTGGTTTATAAAAAATTAAACACAGTGAATTCTCGAGAAAAAAAAGAATGACCAACTCATTTACATAAGTTCGATATCCGCCAGAAGTCAAAACAAAGCCCTTGTTCACTCTGTTAACAGTTTCGGTGGGAATAAACTACAAGAATAGCCGGAAAGACATTTTTAAAATGTCCAATAAACAGATTGTGTAGCAAGGGCTTTGTTTCGCTCCGTATGCGGCAAAACCTACAGGGTGGTTTCTTGCGTCCTTTGCGATCTGTGTTTAGAAGAAGTCACGAAAGAAATTAATTCCCAGCCAAGCAAATGTATTACCAGATTTTAAAGCCCCACGCCAAATCAAAGAACAAAACCTCTTCGCAATCTCCATTACAAATCCATTTCGTATGGCGAGTCCCCGATTAAAGACCTATAAATACCCAAAGGGTCCTTTAATACCACATGAAAATCATTCATTTAATGGTCTATTGACATTTCCATTCGAACGTTTGATCATTTTGTTACGAATGATCAATTCCCCACAAAAATGTTATGTGCTGTCGATAATTTAAAGCACAAATTAGAAGAGCTTGGGGACTGAGAAAATTTATACACGTGCTGTCGCGAAAACGTGATTCCCATACTCATGTTAATTGATTCGCAAGTTCACCTGAGAAGATGTTTAACATTGTACTTTTCACGATCGCGTAAAATAAAATCTCACAGGTACCGATGAACAACGTAGATCACACCAAAGCATCGAAATCAAATAATTTACACCATCTTTTTACATTGCTCTGACCCCAGCCAAGCGAAAATATCTAAACAATTTGGTGTAAGTGTAAACATAGCAAGCCGACAGCAACGCTTTATTGCCGTCCTTATCAATCTCTCTAAGTGTATAAACTCAAAGTTTAAAAAAAATATGTGGGATCTCTGGTTTACCCGAGTTTGACAAAATCTGTCTGAACGGCTTTTTTTTATACACGTCTTTCAATAAATGGAACGGTATAGGACTTTTAGACAATCTATTAGCGGTAATTTAACTCAAACAGGAAAATGTGAGGTAATTAGCGAAAAAAATGCGCTGTTGCCAAAGAAATGACAAGATATGCCCTCAACAAGCGTGTTTGTCTAAATACCCCAATTCAACTGTGCCCTACTTAGAGTAGCAATTTCCTTTTGCTAAGAAACCAATATTCTGAAAGAAATTCCCGCATTCAAGCCGTGGTTACAGATGAATTTTTTATCTTATTGTTTACAACCTGGCTTTCTCTCGAGTAACAGATTTTATGCAAGATCTGCGTATTATTATCTTTATCTGATCTTGGTCACCTTTCTTTGTTCCAAACCGAAATAACCGCACGGCCGAATCTTCAAATCTGGATGCCTTCTCGGTTACTTTGTTTGAACATCGAATGCAAAGTGGACGATAAAGGCGTCCATTACCTTATGCACGATTTATAATGTTTACTAAAAGCTCCAAAAGTGCTCCGAAGAGCATAATTAAGCGCTCTAATGTACGCAAATGTCGCTGTTATTCAGCTGATTCACCTTGCAGGTCCCCATACTACTTTCCACCCTAAAATTAAAAGCGAAACGAAGGTGCAAGAAAAGTAAAAGAAAATTGGCACTAACCTATCACAGTCAAGTTGATAGCCTTTCTGATTGCCCGAAACGCCGTAGTTATCTCGCATATGTAGAAACCTTCATCTGACAGATCGACCCGCTGGATGAACAGCGTAGCTGGCGGTAATATTTTGACTCTGCGAGCGTATCTTGGGGGCATTTTTGAAGATGGTGTAGCGGTCGCCTGTTTTTCAGTTTTGCTGAACAAAACATCTTTCATTCTAGGAGTTCCAGAAGCATCCACAGTGCTTGTCGCCCATAAAATTCGATACGTTTCACCTTTGTTGATGTGAAAAGTCCAATGAAGAGAGGCATTTTGTCTTACGTTCACGCTAACTTTATCTTCGGCTGCGGTTAGCTTCAGTGCTCTAACTGAGACACCTACAGATCGAAGAGAATAAATCATACAGTTCAGTTCAAACTCAAAGAATACAAAAAGACTTGGACGTGCACAGAAAGCTGTCCAAAATTCAATTAGTTCAAAGGTGCTGAATTGTTCAACTGATTTTAGAACTAACCTGAAACAGCTAGAAACCACCAAAGTTTACAGAGCAACATTCTTATATTGACTATGTCTGTCTCGTTACTAGTTACCCAGAACTGACAACAAGCATGTTTTCCTTGTAATCATTACACAGGCGATAAGAGAGTCTGTCAGTTCTTACTTCACTTCACGCTACAGCTGTTGTGTACTGCTGTAGTATATTTGAGCCAATTTTTATCCCTCACGCTTCAGCTTCGCGTAATCTCTAGGCATCAATTACATTCCTTCGTTGACACACGTCACGTGGGTTGCCCAAAGTAAATTAAAGGCCTTTTGTGAGTGGCTGAAATCAGCATGACCGCCAAAGATTAACCAATCAAAGATCGTGATTAAAACTCAAAGGAGCAATTCTTTTATGTGTATTGTTAATAGCTAGAATGCTCCCATTCAAATAAAATAATTTCTTAGTTCCCAAAGACTTTTCAAATAAATCTCGGCCCGGGAGACGCTATTTCACACAGTTAATGGTCCGTTTGGGAAGTTAAGTGGAATACAAATAAACTCTTGTGCCAATATCTCACTTTAAAATCATTCCTAACGAGCTCCATAAACTCCATGAACCCATCGCGATCCAGTATTTTACAAAATAACAATTCACGTACAAAATGTTGATATAAGGCTATTGTGTAATTGATAAAGGGCCAAGTCCAAGACCAATACAAATATGCATGATGACCAACCCAGGCGGCGGAGGGTATTTTGATCGCCTCATTAATATTTTCGAACGGAAGGCGGCGAAAAAATGTTTTGATAGTGGTGATAGAGATTGAACTTAGGTTTATTCAGGTTTGTCTTTCAAATTTTTTTGTAAAGTGGCCTTAAATAATTATCTGAAATGTTTTCATTTCAAACATGCAGTGCGATAGAATGCGAGAGCTCCGTGGGACCTAAAATGCCTTATAACATGATCAATCGCCTGTTGAGAGGATAATTTGAGGTTTTAGTTCCAAGGCGTTAAATAATTATGATACAATTGATAAAGCCTAGGCTAAGATTGAACAGAATTTGTCGCAATTATTACATTGACAAACAGATAACTTTTTCATGATGGCTGTGTTCAATGATCGTCGTAATGATATATGTTATCATCACCCCTACCACAAGTCGATAATACGACGAACTGTCCGACGAACTGGGCTCAACGAGTAAACTTTTCGTGGGCTTTTGACATTTTTTCGAGCGGGGCGACCAACTCGACTAAGGAGGCCGACCAAGGATATCACAGTATATCATAGGTCAGTGGGAGCTCTCAGACAACTATCATGAATCAATAAACCTATTTATTTGTCCTTTCTATCAGACACACTTGTTTAGCTCAGTTTAGTTCAAGTTCAGCTGAATACCAACCATTGCAATCTAAAAGATAAGTACCGGGTTTTCACGAAATTGGAAAATGAAAACCAAAATTCCCTTGGATGTCACTGTTCAGTTTTCACAAAATATCCAATGTTCAATGTTAGCGAAATGGGAACAAAGCTTTCTAATTGTGATGTTTGATAATATATTATTTTTAGTGAGATAACACGATGTCCATATTGTGGAAAGTTTTTTCTGTGCATCTTTATAGTGCCATTTAACGCCCCCAGCTTTTCTTTCAATCGTGGCCCGGTGTAGGCGGCGCTTATCTTTGACGCCTGCAGTTTTTTTGTTTCAATACTTTTGACTGCAATACTTCTTACCTTTACACCTAATGTGAATTGTTTCAAATTTACGCTTAGGGTCTTGTTTACAACTCTAACTTACAGACCCGGTCTTTATTCGGCACCGGGCCTTCAATCGAAAACAGAGCAAGAGATATGGACCGAACAAGTTATTGTAGCTAGAGGCTATAATTTGTCTTGATTACAATGCGTCTCTTATTCATTGAGATAGCTCTTTTATTATGATATCTCTTTTCAATTACTAATTAAATTGGATGCATCGATTCTCACCAAACGGACACTTCAAAGCTAACTGAAAAGTTGAGAACTGAGTGTAACGAACTCTTTTGGCAGAAATGTTTCTGGTACAACCCTTCATCAGTGTTTTATTTTTCGGCAAGAGAGCGTAATTATGAAGGGTCAGAGAGTTATCATTGACAAACAGATAACTTTATCCGTGATAACTACCGTGTGGAGATCGTCGTAATGATATATGTGATTAACAACCTTACCACAAGTCGATATAAATACGCTGAACATAGTTGGGTCAGGGAGTAACTAGTTCTTATTTTTTCCCTTTTTTCGAAAGGGGCGACTAACTCGACTAAGGAGGCCGACCAAGGATATCACAGTATATCATACAAATGTAGGTCAGTGGGAGCTTTCAGACAACTATCATGATTCATGAATCAATAAACCTTTTCATTTGCCCATTCTATCAGACACACTTGTTTAGCTCAGCGGTTCTTCGGCCAAATATATATATCAACCACTGCAATCTAAAAGATAAGTACCGGTTTTTCGCGAAATTGGAAAATGAAAACCAAAAGTTCCTTGGATTTCATTGTTGAGTTTTCAAAAAATATGGTACAGGATCAAATGATTCAGAGCGCAGTTTGGCATAAATGAGGACAAATATATTTTCAAAAACTGAAAAATTTGNACAAAATCTGTCTGAACGGCTTTTTTTATACACGTCTTTCAATAAATGGAACGGTTTAAAACTCTTAGACAATCTATAAGCCGGTAATTTAACGTGAGGTAATCAACGAAAAAATTGCGCTGTTGACAAAGAAATGACAAGATATGCCCTCAACAAGCGTGTTTGTCTAAATACCCAAATTCAACTGTGCCCTACTTAGAGTAGCAATTTCCTTTTGCTAAGAAACCGATCTACTGAAAGAAATTCCCGCATTCAAGCCGTGGTTACAGATGAATTTTTTATCTTATTGTTTACAACCTGGCTTTCTCTCGAGTAACAGATTTTATGCAAGATCTGCGTATTATTATCTTTATCTGATCTTGGTCACCTTTCTTTGTTCCAAACCGAAATAACCGCACGGCCGAATCTTCAAATCTGGATGCCTTCTCGGTTACTTTGTTTGAACATCGAATGCAAAGTGGACGATAAAGGCGTCCATTACCTTATGCACGATTTATAATGTTTACTAAAAGCTCCAAAAGTGCTCCGAAGAGCATAATTAAGCGCTCTAATGTACGCAAATGTCGCTGTTATTCAGCTGATTCACCTTGCAGGTCCCCATACTACTTTCCACCCTAAAATTAAAAGCGAAACGAAGGTGCAAGAAAAGTAAAAGAAAATTGGCACTAACCTATCACAGTCAAGTTGATAGCCTTTCTGATTGCCCGAAACGCCGTAGTTATCTCGCATATGTAGAAACCTTCATCTGACAGATCGACCCGCTGGATGAACAGCGTAGCTGGCGGTAATATTTTGACTCTGCGAGCGTATCTTGGGGGCATTTTTGAAGATGGTGTAGCGGTCGCCTGTTTTTCAGTTTTGCTGAACAAAACATCTTTCATTCTAGGAGTTCCAGAAGCATCCACAGTGCTTGTCGCCCATAAAATTCGATACGTTTCACCTTTGTTGATGTGAAAAGTCCAATGAAGAGAGGCATTTTGTCTTACGTTCACGCTAACTTTATCTTCGGCTGCGGTTAGCTTCAGTGCTCTAACTGAGACACCTACAGATCGAAGAGAATAAATCATACAGTTCAGTTCAAACTCAAAGAATACAAAAAGACTTGGACGTGCACAGAAAGCTGTCCAAAATTCAATTAGTTCAAAGGTGCTGAATTGTTCAACTGATTTTAGAACTAACCTGAAACAGCTAGAAACCACCAAAGTTTACAGAGCAACATTCTTATATTGACTATGTCTGTCTCGTTACTAGTTACCCAGAACTGACAACAAGCATGTTTTCCTTGTAATCATTACACAGGCGATAAGAGAGTCTGTCAGTTCTTACTTCACTTCACGCTACAGCTGTTGTGTACTGCTGTAGTATATTTGAGCCAATTTTTATCCCTCACGCTTCAGCTTCGCGTAATCTCTAGGCATCAATTACATTCCTTCGTTGACACACGTCACGTGGGTTGCCCAAAGTAAATTAAAGGCCTTTTGTGAGTGGCTGAAATCAGCATGACCGCCAAAGATTAACCAATCAAAGATCGTGATTAAAACTCAAAGGAGCAATTCTTTTATGTGTATTGTTAATAGCTAGAATGCTCCCATTCAAATAAAATAATTTCTTAGTTCCCAAAGACTTTTCAAATAAATCTCGGCCCGGGAGACGCTATTTCACACAGTTAAAGGTCCGTTTGGGAAGTTAAGTGGAATACAAATAAACTCTTGTGCCAATATCTCACTTTAAAATCATTCCTAACGAGCTCCATAAACTCCATGAACCCATCGCGATCCAGTATTTTACAAAATAACAATTCACGTACAAAATGTTGATATAAGGCTATTGTGTAATTGATAAAGGGCCAAGTCCAAGACCAATACAAATATGCATGATGACCAACCCAGGCGGCGGAGGGTATTTTGATCGCCTCATTAATATTTTCGAACGGAAGGCGGCGAAAAAATGTTTTGATAGTTGTGATAGAGATTGAACTTAGGTTTATTCAGGTTTGTCTTTCAAATTTTTTTGTAAAGTGGCCTTAAATAATTATCTGAAATGTTTTCATTTCAAACATGCAGTGCGATAGAATGCGAGAGCTCCGTGGGACCTAAAATGCCTTATAACATGATCAATCGCCTGTTGAGAGGATAATTTGAGGTTTTAGTTCCAAGGCGTTAAATAATTATGATACAATTGATAAAGCCTAGGCTAAGATTGAACAGAATTTGCCGCAATTATTACATTGACAAACAGACAACTTTTTCATGATGGCTGTGTTCAATGATCGTCGTAATGGTATATGTTATCATCACCCTTACCACAAGTCGATAATACGACGAACTGGGCTCAACGAGTAAACTTTTCGTGGGCTTTTGACATTTTTTCGAGCGGGGCGACCAACTCGACTAAGGAGGCCGACCAAGGATATCACAGTATATCATAGGTCAGTGGGAGCTCTCAGACAACTATCATGAATCAATAAACCTATTTATTTGTCCTTTCTATCAGACACACTTGTTTAGCTCAGTTTAGTTCAAGTTCAGCTGAATACCAACCATTGCAATCTAAAAGATAAGTACCGGGTTTTCACGAAATTGGAAAATGAAAACCAAAATTCCCTTGGATGTCACTGTTCAGTTTTCACAAAATATCCAATGTTCAATGTTAGCGAAATGGGAACAAAGCTTTCTAATTGTGATGTTTGATAATATATTATTTTTAGTGAGATAACACGATGTCCATATTGTGGAAAGTTTTTTCTGTGCATCTTTATAGTGCCATTTAACGCCCCCAGCTTTTCTTTCAATCGTGGCCCGGTGTAGGCGGCGCTTATCTTTGACGCCTGCAGTTTTTTTGTTTCAATACTTTTGACTGCAATACTTCTTACCTTTACACCTAATGTGAATTGTTTCAAATTTACGCTTAGGGTCTTGTTTACAACTCTAACTTACAGACCCGGTCTTTATTCGGCACCGGGCCTTCAATCGAAAACAGAGCAAGAGATATGGACCGAACAAGTTATTGTAGCTAGAGGCTATAATTTGTCTTGATTACAATGCGTCTCTTATTCATTGAGATAGCTCTTTTATTATGATATCTCTTTTCAATTACTAATTAAATTGGATGCATCGATTCTCACCAAACGGACACTTCAAAGCTAACTGAAAAGTTGAGAACTGAGTGTAACGAACTCTTTTGGCAGAAATGTTTCTGGTACAACCCTTCATCAGTGTTTTATTTTTCGGCAAGAGAGCGTAATTATGAAGGGTCAGAGAGTTATCATTGACAAACAGATAACTTTATCCGTGATAACTACCGTGTGGAGATCGTCGTAATGATATATGTGATTAACAACCTTACCACAAGTCGATATAAATACGCTGAACATAGTTGGGTCAGGGAGTAACTAGTTCTTATTTTTTCCCTTTTTTCGAAAGGGGCGACTAACTCGACTAAGGAGGCCGACCAAGGATATCACAGTATATCATACAAATGTAGGTCAGTGGGAGCTTTCAGACAACTATCATGATTCATGAATCAACAAACCTTTTCATTTGCCCATTCTATCAGACACACTTGTTTAGCTCAGCGGTTCTTCGGCCAAATATATATATCAACCACTGCAATCTAAAAGATAAGTACCGGTTTTTCGCGAAATTGGAAAATGAAAACCAAAAGTTCCTTGGATTTCATTGTTGAGTTTTCAAAAAATATGGTACAGGATCAAATGATTCAGAGCGCAGTTTGGCATAAATGAGGACAAATATATTTTCAAAAACTGAAAAATTTGATCGCACCCGTAGGGCGAGTGCAAATTTGTAGTCTTCGAAAAATTTACGAGAGCTTATTTATTGCAAATTGCTTGTGAAAAATCACTTGATTACTCGTTAATAATATACATGCAATTTAATTTCAACTTTCTGCAGTGTTTGACCTGTTCTCAGCCAGTCAGCATGCCGAATTTTTTTCATTGCCAACATAAGTTTTCGATATCTGAAGACAACAAAAGTTAATTTTTTAATTTTGAGGTTTGATTATATGCTATTTTAGTGAGATAGCGCGATGTCCATATGTGAGAAAGTGTTTTATCCGCATCTTATCTCTCGATTTAACGCCCCCAGCTTTTCTTTCAACCGTGGCTCGGTGAAGGCGACGCTTATCAGTGACTCCTACAGTTTTTTTGTTTCATTACTTTTGACCGCCATATTTCTTGCCATTGTACATAATGTAAATTGTACTTCAAATTTACGTTTAGGGTCTTGTTTACAACTCTACCTTAGAGACCCGGTGTTTATTCGGCACCGGTCGTACAATCGAAAACATATTGACAGTACTTACAAAAACAGAGCGAGAGATATGGACCGAACAAGTTATTGTAGCTAGAGGCTATAATTTGTCTTGATAAAAACTGCTCTTTTATTATGATGGCTCTTTTTAATTAGTAATTAAATTGGATGCATCAATGCTCGCCAGACGCACCGACAAAACAGCTGGCTACAAAGCTAAAAAGTTGCATAATTTTTCAGTCTTTTCGGCGACGAAAACGTTAAACAAACGGCTTTCCTTTGTTCGTTGTTTTTGGCAATTTCA